TAGCAGGTCAGACTTCCAGGGCACTCAGAATTTTTCTTACATCTAAGCTATAGTTTAAGCGAGAACATATCTTTTGATATGATTCATTTGCTAAAGTAAGGGACATGGCACTGTGAACCTTAGTAAACTTGGGTAAACTCCTGGTATCCATTTAAACTTCTTTTTATGAAAGCTTTCAGCAAGGCTGGCCTCTGCAACCTTGTGAGGTAGCTGAGTGATATTGCTGCATGAAATGGAAAATGAAACAGAGCCCTTTTTTAGTGGCATGTGGTTAGTTTTGGTGTACATCATACTATATGATTTGGCAACAATTTGGAAGTATTGTTTAAGCCATACATATTCTTGGAAGAAGTTGTCTGGTAGTTATCTGTGAGGGTGCATCTCTTCTCTAAAAATGGAGTGACAGATTATATTTACATTAACCTGAATTTTAGTTTAAAAAAGAAAAAGAGATCTGATGTTACTGATGTGACGAGAGGTGGAAGATTATGGAAATTCCAGATGTTATGGAAACAAATATTGACTTTTAAGAAGATTATTACTACTATTATTTAAAAATTGCTTTTTTCCTGGCACTCTTAATATATGAGGAGTTTTGGTTACCATTACGAGAATTTTACAATGTAAATTACAGAGAGAATGCAATAAATTGTTGAAACACAGTATAATGTGTAGAGAATAATATACAATAAGAAGACTGCACAGATCTTGAGAAATGACTTTTCCCTTGACTAAAGCTGCAATGCATTATGGTAGAGCAAACGGTAAATACTTTAGTGTGAATTATTTGTAATTTACATTATTTTTACATATCTTTAACTTAATGGATAACAGATTTATTATTACTATTATTATTACTACTACTATTATTATTATTATTATTCTAAACCCCAAATATAGGTAAGCTATCAGTAATGTATAAACTTAAGAACTTATCTCCAGGATAATATTAATGATCAACCTTGAAGAGGTAAGAGCTACATCTCCTGAACTACTGATAATAACTGCAGCCTATTCTGAATTGCTAGAGTGTGCAGAAATTAAAATGTATGTGAATAAGATTCAGTTCATCCAAATAGTCTCAGAAATCAGATGCCGAACATCTCCCATTCCAGAAAATAAAATACCTGCTGGAAAATCATTTTATGAGAAAATAGTTAATTGGCAAGACAAGCACACTCAATATTGGTCTTTTATTTGCTGGATAACCATGCTGTTGATGTTTCCTGTCTCCTGATGTTACCCGTGTATGGCAACTCTTAGGTGATATAGGGAAATCCCATGTCCAATGTGGTCATTGTGAACTTAGTGCAACCATTGATAGATTTTTCATTTCCAGTAAGTACTTATTTAATTTTGACATGTGAATAACTTTATTTCTACTTGTTTAAGTTAGCTGATCCAGCACTATGCTTTGGCATTGGACAGCAGTGGTGAATCAGATCCCTAAAGCACTGGGGAATCACTCCAGAAGTGGTATCAAACTGCCCTGGGATTGGGTGTCCAATGCAAATTCACACTGACGGAACACTTGAGGGCTAGCGTGAAACCAGCTGCTCCTGTACTTAGAGACATAGGTGCAGCGATTCACTGGCTTCATCTCTTTTGTCTATAATTGATGACATCCAACCCATTTCATGAGGACTCTTCATAGACAATCATATCAATTTTGTACACATAATATAGTCTCTCTTTACGTTGTAAGCTGAAGCCTCCCAACTAGCATGACAAATTACAGTCTCTCTCTCCTAACTGTGTAGAAAAGACAGGAGTAGGTTCGCTCTGAACTAACATTCAGGTACAACTGCAAACATATTGGGGATTGTGCGCCAAGCAAGGTGGTGTAATCGGGAGGAGACCCGTAGCTCTCTCAACAAACCCATGTCAGCAGGTATTCAGGTGATCAGGTATTCAGGTATTAATTTGGTATCGATTACCATCACTTTTGAATACAATTACTTGGCAAAATTACTTAAGACTAAGATGACAAATGCTGGTAGCTAAGGTCAGAATTCCATATAAAAGACAGATAAAAATATTCACTAGAAAGATAAATCAGGGCATCAGAACACACTTTTAATTAAAAATACTTGTTTAAATATTTATCCTAGCTTGACCACGCATTTGCAGTGTATGAAGCTGTGTGTTTTGGTGTCAAGAAATTAAGTGGGAACTTAACACCTTTATACTACAAAAATCTGTGTCTCAGTTACTGAAACAAATTCTCTGGTTACTAAATCTGCCTTGTAGATCTGATGGGGTTCAGAGGGCATACTGAAAAACGTAAGCATTTCAGACCAATAATGGCTGTCTACTTTTGGTATCTTTGATAATATCTATTGTACAGGTGCGTAAAATAAGATGATATGCTTGTATTTAATAGTATGAATAGCTAATATGAGAATCAACCTCTCATTTGTACTCTTGATCTTTCCACCTCTGGATAGTCCTAAGTAGCAGAAGAAACACCATTGTATCCAGTGAAATTGCCTGTGCTAGTGAAAGCACTTGGCAATGATCATTTAAAACTGAATTTCCTAAAGAGCTAGATGAGGACATGCATCTAGTGACCTAAGTGTGTCCTTAGACCAGACGCGTGATTATTACCCCGACCTCCTTTCTCCCATACACTATTCTCGAAATTATTTCTTCGTCTCCTATTTTAGTAATCCAAAGAGATTTGGTCCATAGGATCAAAGGAGAATATTCCTGCTCAGCCACATTTTTTGTTGCCATACGGAGGAACCCTGTAGCTGACTGGCAGGGAAACTGCCAAAGCTCAGAAAGATGGCTTGCACTGGTGGAGCATATCTAAACGGCAAAGAACTTGATTGACATTATGGGACATAGGAGAGAGATAATGAGAAAAATCAGACTATCAAGGAAATATAAAGCTCCCCCATTGCATATGGATGCCTTCACTTTATGTTTATACAGTAAATCTGTATGCCGGTCCTTTGTCTGAAAGCTTTTATCTATGCTCTTTGTTGAAGCTCCAATTTAGTTATCTTCAGCTAGTGTTTCATAGCACCAGTCTGACATGAAGGCTTGTTAGTCAGACATCACTTTGTAAACAAGCAAAGCATATGCTATATATAGAATAAATTGTAAGCATTTGTGAATTACAACCCTATATTGGTGCTGAGGTTTTCTTTGGTGACATTAGAAACCATGGCAGTGAATCCTGAATGGATTATGAAGTAACCAGATCTCAGCAATAGCATTAGACTCTTATTGCTAAAAGTGGTGTTTTAAAAAAAAGCATATCAGGTAGGATACTGTACTTAAATTAAACACTCTTCATCCCAGCTTCCTATTTCCCTCTCTTTTCTCATTTAACCTCCCATGTCATGCATTGCCATCTATGAATACAAGATGACAATGAAATTATTTTAAAAATAGTGCAGTGAAGGAGCATATATAAAACAGTGAATAATAATTAATCAATGGCTGAATGATGCACCAATGCAGGTAGCTTTTCTAGTATATTCACAGCTATATTTTATAACTATTAACCTTAGCTATGGGAAGAGCAGGTTATAAGGTGATCACTGTTGGAAGTGATTTTACAAAGCATCTGATAGACCCAGGAACAGCAGACAAATTCTGCAACTGTTTCCAGATAACCTTCTGAGAGGAAGGCTGGGAATAATCTGGACTCATTTAAAATATCTCAGTGGCGGTAATTTTCATATGGTTAAGAAATATCTGGTTAGATGTGTAAATAGTGTGTCCTTCACAGTCATTGGAAATCTTTGTGCAATTATCCCTTAAACTTTGGATTTTTCAATCTCTAACCTCCAAAACTGCAACTGTAGGACAGGTAGAACACTACAGTATATGTGCTTTTGGTCTGTGCGCAAGCTCTAAACAGTTCATTCATTTGAGGAAGGATCGTGTAACATATAATGACACACACTGCGAGCCTCCACGTAGAACAGAAAATCCCCATGCCTGTCTTCGAATTTGTCAAAGTTGAGTTTCTGGCATTTTACAGGAACAAAGTGAATTAAGAAGTGGTTCATATTTAATTCTTTACACAAAGGAGAGTAAGTGGTTCACGTGTCTTTGAGAAAGAGCTTCCAATTTTTTTCCGGTCTACCCTGCGGCAGACAGTAGTTAGTTTTCTCACAACCCAGAGCTGAATCACTGAATTAGAGTGCTCAGGTCTGTGACACAGGCTCTGCAAAGGAATGCAGTCTTCTTAGCAACTGATTCAGTTTTGATATCATGGAGTCATAATATGTGATCTGAGAGAATAAATAGTGGTATATAAAAATATACTCGGGGCTGAACGTTCATATGTGCTGGTATGTCTTATCAGATGAAGTCAAATCAAACTAAAAGTAGAAATAATATATTGCATGGACTACACAGAATTAACATTCAGTGAAAGCACATCCTACATTTCTGATTAAAAATCCCATTTGCAATTATGAATAAACAAAATTAAATAAATGATTTCTTCCTTTCCACAGTTGATAAAGAACACACACAGACTCACTCTCTTACCCCTAGAGAATGCCAACAGACTCCACTGTCATCTTCCACCAAGCTGTGCAAGCATATTTCTTGCATATTTGCTTTCTACGCTTTTGTATTATGAAAGTGTGAATGTGATATTTCCCGAAATACATTATTTATGACATGTTTGTATAATATCTAAAGCAGTAAGGAGAACACTGCTAATAATTACTCATAGTCTTTAAAAAGAGTGGTAATGAAATAGACTTACGAATCAAGGATGGATCTGACTTAGGTCCAAACCCATAATGAGCTTGAGAAGAACCTGTTTCTTGTGGTCTGATGTTACCTCTCTTAGGGGAGAGCCATACCTACTTGACCTTAGGAAGTATTCAAAGCCAGACCCTAGCTTTGTGCTTGTAAAACTATCTATAAAAGAGCATATAAGTAGGCCTTAGAAAACTGTATGAATTTGGTGATTGATCATACTGATTTCATTGCATTTTGCTGGTTGATATTTTAAAGAGAGTACTAACCTGATCTGAAGCCATGTGAGCATTGGTGTTGTGCCCCCACCGAACACCCAGACTGTGAAAAATACAACAAGTAGTGCCGTTGTAAACATCATTTGTTTTGGTTGGGATTCTGTGTCTTGAATAGCCAGTGCAAATGCTATTGCACCACGTAAACCTAAAGAAAAAGACAAGTAAACTTAATGTGAAGGAGGAACAGAACTTACCTCTTTCCAGCCCAAACCCTATTCCAAGGGCAGAGAAAATTTTCAGACCATGATCATCTTTGTCACAGACGCTAAACGATGCTTAATTGATAGCATGGTGTTTAATGCATGTGTAATTAACTTTGCAAAAGCGGACAATGAAACCACCCTGATAGTCCCATAAAAATCACATACTTGTTTTACATCCACTGAATTCTTTGCCTTGAATAATTTCCAATTAAGTAATAATCTGACTTTTATGCTTGTTACAAAAGAAATCTATTTTCTATGCAGTTTCACTGACTTCAGTAGGACTATTCATGTGATAAAATGAGGAAGGGTGCTGGGATCAAAATCTGTACCCAAATAGGCTGCCCGTTTCTTGCTTGAAACAATATAAAATTTCATCTCTCCAGTATCTTTATGTGCTGAGAATGGTCAAAAAATCATGATTTAAAAAACAGTGAATAGTTTTTAAATGATGGTTTCAAGTATTTGGAAAAGGGGTGCATGATAACTGTAGATTTTTAGCTCTAACTTAGTGTACTAAATTATTACAATAATTGTAAAATTATACACCTACAGAAACTGAGTAAAAAGAAAAAGCTACAAAAGTGGAGAAAAAACTAATAGTGAGTGAAAAAAAAAAAGCCCCACAAGTAGTAATAGGCTAACTAAATAGGTGCTCACAGGATGACACATTTGAAAAAAAGAGAGAAAAAAGCCCTACAGTATTTCTGGATGCATAATGTAAATAATAATCTCTATTTTTATAATGCTTTTCATTTATATACTTAAATTTTCTGTATTGTTTTCTAAAAAAAAAATCCCACAAAATACGTGTGGAAAACTGTAGAGAGCAAAGTCATTGCATGTTGTACAATACACACTGAATCCAAAAGGTACTTTGCAAATATCAAGAGATTAAACCTAATAATTAAACCTCTTGTAAGGCACTGATGGTTTATGCAGAATCATTTAATCAACTACTAAAAAGCAGCTATTTTCGGAGTCAAACACTGAGGCTCTTTAAGAGCGCATAGCCAGAATGTGAAATATTTTGTGTAGACGATGGACGCTTTATCCACAGAACAACACAAAGCAATTTGTGCAAGCGAGCAGCAAGCAGACTGTAGTTACACCAGCTGAAATGGATCAGCAACAGCACGTTTAATATCCCTGCTTTTATGAAAATAATACAGAAGTCAGCAAGTAGGCTTTTCCTTGCTTTGCTTTTATTTATCAGACACCTCTAAGGATGCTCATGGTTTACTGTTCTCTCATGGGAAGAACTATTGGCTCATTTTAAACATGTATCTGTAGGAGAGAATGAGCCACTGTTGAAGCAGTCTGTCTTTTTCCATTACAGAGGTAATCTAGAGGACTAGCTCAGATAAAATGCTTAAATTCTAGGTGGCTACAATTAGATAGAAAACAATGCTGCTTTTGATAATGGCAGCACAAGTTTCAACGCAATATTAAATTTAGGACATCTCTTTTGGGAGGAGGGAATGTTAAAAAAGAATTGCTAATTAGTATGCAATTAAGAATCCTCACTTTTTGAGGGCTGGACCTGGGTGTTTGTTCAGTTTTGTGAAATACTGAGTACCTTCACTGTGTCTTTCATTTGCAAAGGCTCAACATGCTCTATAAGCGCTGATTCAGCCTCACATAAAATGTATCTGAAATTAAATAAACAAAGCATGTACTTCCAACTGAAGCGGTGGGAAGCAAGTGAATGTAGCCTAAACTGTAAAGACTCAGCAAGAATCAAGGACCACAATCCTAGTGTATCAAAATATCTTCCAGGTAACAATACAAATTAAGTAAGGGAATTTTTAGCAACCTCAGAAGATGATATGATGCAGAAATAGTCTGCAGATAAGGAAGGGAAGGCAATTTCCTTATGGAAAAATACCAACAAAGAGCAACGGAATGATTGACTCCGATGTACATTGGCACCTCAGCTGCAGCTAGAAGAGGCTCAATAGGAGGAAAATGCTCAAAGGAGCCATTAGCAGAGATTCTCTCCCCTCATCTGTCAGAGTTTTGCTGCACTGACAGCAGCTCTCTGTCTCTTGTGTGACCCATTGATCCTCTTGGCTCTATCACAGATTGCCTACCAGATTTTTCTGCTAGTTGTGCCACCATTGGGAATTCCTCTTTAAGAAATACTCTTTCGTGTGTGGGAGCGCCAAGGAAAGGCACCCAAGGGCAAAGCTTCAGAGGCCCACAGGGTAGATAAGGTGTGTCCTATTGCCGTTATCCCTCATTTGCTCGCGCTTCACAAAACCGTGTCACCCTGAACCAATTCTTAGAAGAACCTTGGAGAGCAGCAGCGTTTGTGGGTAGTGTGGGGGGAAACTGCCGCGAAAGGAGACTTTCTGAATGTAGGGCTAGCGCTTTGGTTTCAACAGCATTTCTCCCCTCTTTTTCTTCCTTGCTTTAATTTATATTTAGCTGATTTCTTTTCGTATCTGTCGTCTTGGAAAATTTCACTATAACACTTCTCCCCACCACATATGTATGAGAGCGTATTTGTAAGTGCCTGCACAATAGCTGCCTCTGCACAGGCCTTCCTTTTTGTTTTTCTTCTGCATTTGTGTTCCACCCTTTCAGACTCCACTGCTGCTGCAAGGTCTTATATTAACAGCACCTAACCCGGCAGCATTGTGTCCCACAAGCCTCTCACTGACTGATTTATGTATTGGAGAGAAGAGGAAAGTGCAAAAAAGGTAAATAGAGACATTGGAAGAAGACTGGGAGGTGCGATACTTTAAGTCTGAAATAGTGCCTACTCTATTCCTGTGGAAGTGATGCTCAAATTATCAAATATGTTATTGCTGTTAATAAATCCATCCAGATCTATTTAGTTTCCTTTCCTTTTCATTTTATTACCAGTTAAAGGCATCATATCAGGGTCTGAACTGAAGTGAGGCATTCTTCATGCAGCATAGACTCCTAGTATAGAGTGTTAGATCCCTTACAGTTTAAAACATAAAATAGTTCTTTTTCCCATGAACAGACTCTGCTGGCCTGCCCATTTTAGCTGATGTTAAACTTAATTTGACAAGATCAGGCTTAATTATGAAAGGACTAATCTAGTTTTGATTCACAACGGGCCTAGAAACCTAGCAGCACTGGAATTTTATCTGGAATTATGATTGAACACAGTTGTGAAAGTGAATCTATCCTGCATAATGTGTTGTTAGAGGAGCGACACAAACAGATGAAGAATGTAATAAGTCAAAATGGTGCATAATCCTCTTTCAGGCCTAACTCTTCCACATTTTCTCATACGTATTAATACTCCTTAAGAAATAGCACTTGATGACTTCAACAGAATTCCTGGCGGAGAAAGATATTCTGGAATGCTAATCAACAAATTACTTGTCCGACCCGAACTGCTTCTTTTTTTTTTGGACTTTGATATTCATGGGTGACTATGGCAGTAAAAGACAATAATAAATGTTGGGTGTATTTGGAAATGACAAAGTTGAAAGCAAAACCAGCCTAAAACGCTCTATTTTCTACATCTTAGTGTGTTAGGCTAGGGTGAGTGAAGCCCAGTTTTTCCCATGACCTCTTATATTTTAGAACCTGATGCCACAGCAAAATATTGCTGCAAAAGGTGTGCTGAGCTTTTGTAGGCATTAAGCCTACTCCTCACTAGCTCAAATTCAGTGTCCTGTTTGCCTGTATCAGAACTGATTTTCTCTTCTGGGAGTCATTATTTCCTCTGTTTATCAGTCAGCACAGTATGATCAGTTAATAGTAAATCAGAACACTATTGGTAACTGAGCACGAATCTTAATGCACGTTACAAGTACAATTATGCAGAAATATCCACGTCTTAACGTGCAGGTGATAGCAGTGTGAGCAGCAGTCAGTCTTTTTTGCCTAATTGCACGTTATGCCATTTTGTTTTTTGGAAGTGTTGTAAAGACGGTTCTCTCCACAAAATACAGTATTTCTTTGAAAACAGCTAAAAGTGACTTTTCTGACTATTTTAACATTTAAATTTTAGGAGCTTCCAATACTGCCATTTTCAGTTCTCAGCTGACAGATTGTATTGGAAACCTAATGTGCAAGTGAGAGTTCTCACCTTCAGCTACTGGCTGCAGGCTACTTCTAGTTCTGTGGAGAATGACATTTCACTGGAGAAAATGAGGACAGAAAAGTTAAAGAGTAAGATGTATTTTAGATTTTTTTAATCCATATTTTGTCTGATGGAAAATAGAAGCAAAAACGGGGCCCAGAAGCTAGATAACTAATGATATGAAGCTTTTTACTCGTAGACTTTTGATCTAAATCCAGTTCATGTAGGTGTCTAGCTGGCCACCTTCTAGCTGTATGAGTGATCTACGTATACAGTCTACACTGCTAACAATTTGAGATGAGCAGGTGGCCTGAAAACCAGTTCCTAATGGATGTATGTTATCATCTCTCCCTCCAATCTAGCTGGTATTAACCGAATTTTCATTGGCAGCTTTTAGCAGAAGGATTGAATAGATGTAGAAATGAACTACTGTCACGCTCTAGAGATCTGGAATTATTAAAGCATAAATGAGGCACCCTGATGAGGAGTATTCCTGATGAGCAAGCTTGAAACATGGCCCATTGTCTTCTGCTTGTTATGAGGTTAAATAGATCAGTGGATATCCATGCTGTCAATCAAGAACCTTTATCCATCAAAATTGAAATAGATTTTTCATATAAAAATCAAGAAAAAGAAGGACAGTGCTGACTTCCTCATTTTAGGAAATGATTTCCTAAATGGCATTGTGGGATCTGCATTTCTGTCTTGCAGTGAACAAATGCTCTCAGCTTGTAAGTGAAAGATTTTTTCTAACTAGGATCAGAAAGTCAATTGAGATATTTCTAGTTTGTGCATGTCCAAAAATGTAGTTTCCAGCTGAGATTTAACAGCTCCCTGGATGATGCACAAATCAGAGTAGAACATGGCTCCCTCTCCTGGAATTTTTTTGGTCCTACACTGCTAACAATAGTTAAAAATCAGCAAAACCTTAATTTAGAAAGTAAAGCAATCAGATATTAGGCTGATTCAAAGTAGGTTTGTGGAATAAAAGTCTGCTAGTCTCATGTTTCAAAGTATAACTGTTCTTGAAATAAAAAATAACTGCCAAAGGCCATGACTGATTTGTGAGTATCAGTACTAACACTTTCAAAGTTGGATATTTATTTCCTTGTATGTGAGCGTACTGCCTAGTAAACTACATGTGCCTCTGAAACAACCCAATACGAAAAGAGAACGTTCCCAAATTGGCATGCAAGTGTAGAGACAGGTGAGGGACAAAGGGCTGCAAGAGTAGCTTTCTGGGCAATAGGTTTCCAAAGAGATAATTAAAATAGGTCTATAGCTCAGTGAAGGTGATGAGAACATGCCCATTTGCTTGAGGCACTTTGAAGAGACTGTGCTGAGTTTTAATTGTACGTCAGCTGTTAAAAATTGACAGGAAAAACAGCAGAATAGCACTTACCTGAAAACATCATCATGTGCTGAAAGTTCCTGGGAATCTTTTGTCTTCGACCCAAGTTCAAAAGGAAAGAAAGTGGATATATGTTGCATGCTCTTGCTATGAAAACTGCCACCTAAAATGTAAGATATTGAGGAAAACGGTGGAGGAACTACTGACTCCATATTTCTCTGAAGTTAGCTTAAAAGTGTAATTAAAATAAATAAGTGTAATTAAATTAAAGTGAGATTATCTCACTTTATATTTTACATATCACATGAATTCCTTCTGGTTCCAATTTCATTATAAAACTGCAGTGGCAGAGATTGTCTCCCCCAGACATCCTGGTTTTAAATTCATCATTATATATTCCACTTCAATCACTCTGCTTTTACTCATCACATTTGTATCACATGTGACTTCATCTTCAGTCTTTCAGTAAAATGCCCCTCATCAATTGCAGAGACAGCATTATCTCCTTCAGCAGCAATTTGCAAAGAATAAATGTGCTTTTGGACATGATTACTTTCTTATTTCCTGACAATTCATATTGTCTATATCGAGCACTCTTTGCCTTTTTTTTTTTTTTTTTCCTTTGGAGATTTTTTAGAAAGGGGTTCATTATTACTCCTCTATGGAGCTATCACAAAATTGCCTTAATTAGAAGCATGAGGCTAATTCAGATTAAAAAAAAAAGACAATCATAACTCCTTGTAGACACTTTTAGCAAGTTCCATCCTCCCCTTGTCTTGTGACTCTTGGGGCTCGATTACGGCTCTGAGAGCCTGGACGTGCTGTGGATCGTAGCATGGAGGAAGCCCTTGGGTTGGCAGCGTTTGAGCGCATCATACCTGCAGGGCCAGGAGCTGGCCTGAAGCTCCTGCGGGCTTCGGATAACCCACAAAGTAGCTGTGGTTGCTTCACCTGTGGATTTCGTGCCCTTTGATCTGCAGCCCCCTTGTAACCTACTGCAGCCTCGTGGCTCACAGTGAGAGGAGACAATAGGTCTGGGTCCCCACGGTGCTCTGCAACAGTCTCCCACCTGGGGTGCTGGGTGCTGCTCTCGCGCTTGGCCGTCCTCCCTGCTAGGAGCACAGGACGCGGTATTGGACTTGCTGCGTGGTGGTGGTGGTGGGCGACAGGCTCCTAGGGTCCTCTCCGCCCTCTAAAACAACCTGTAGCTGGGGGAACTGTGGTACACTTCTTATTCTTTTGGAAATTGTATGTAAAAATTACTGCAAGTAAACTGTGGTCCCAACCTTCAAAGCTACTGCAGTTCACCAAAAAGTGATAAGCAAAGGGCTGCTGCTCTGAGCCAACAAATGTCACTGTGTGACCTGTCACAATGAAAAGAATTGATGCCGCTGCACAAGTGAGCAATAGGCTTTGCTGAGAAAACATGGCAGAATTAAAGACACAGCCTCTTTTTCCTGCCCGTCGCTGAGGCACCCTTGAGGACATAAATAATTCCACGTACACTAGAGCTATCAAATACAAAGAAGGTAAGCTTTGCACAACGCAGGACTGTGTGCTTTTTAAGGACTTAATAGTGTTCAGATAGCTTTGGGAGAGCTCTGCTTACAGCACACAGCTATTTGGAGGCAGCTCTGCAGTTTGTAGACCTGCACTGGCTCTGGAGAGGCAGGAAGATTTTGTGCCCATGCAGGTGTCCACACAGCTGTGTCCCAATACACATCCTAATTTCCCACCCCACTTCTAAGCCTAATATCAAGCCCAGTGGCAGAAATTCCCCACCTGGTTTAAAGCTATTTGCCTTGTAGCATATCTGCAAAATAGCATCTGCCAAAAGACCACTCACTCACGTGCACTGAGATATGGAGATATACGTAATAAAGACGGTAATCTTTGGACCTGACAAAGAATTGATTTTTAGCATTTTAGAAACTGATAGGTTTCCTTATTGACAACGTCATTCACATGCGGCACACATTCTTTATACACACACACACACACACACACACACACACACGCATACATTTATAGTTATTTGAAGCAAAGGATACAAATGCACCAAATATAAACAACGCATTGAAGATGTGATTCTGGAACGTGAATAGTGCGAGTCCCATGTAGCAGAAGATGACATTCTCAGCCAGAAAATTCATGAACTCGAACAACTTAAACAAGAGAGAAAGAACATAGTTATGACTCATGACTCATAGGGAACTAACTTCTGTTCGTCACATAGTTAATAAAAAATATTAGCTTGGCGTACAGAACTGTTTAGATAAAAGGAACAGAAATCTTATCTATTTCAAGGGTGGATTTTAAAACTTTAATCTGTTATACGGTCTATGTGATGTCTTTGATAGTGCTTTTAGCTTTAAAATCATAGTTACTTGCATGTCTTGCCCTCATTTGCTTATGAAAGTTAACACAGACAAATGGTAAAATATATAAAAAGCAAATAAGTTATACCAGCCGCAATGCAAATTGCAAGGAAGCGGAGAGAAAAACTGAGCTTCGCTCATGTTTACACAGGTGGGCCTGGGAAATGGATCAGATCCCGAGTACACAAGTAACTATGCACAAAACAGTGATGGGTATGTGCCCCTGCCAAGAGAGGAAAAATTTTCCTAAGTGGCTTTTTAAGAACCTGTGCCTTTAAAATATCACATTGTCTTTTTTATTATAACGAATGTTATCCTGTAGGTAATTCTTATTGCACTACATGGATATCAATTACTCATTTCAAGTGAATCTATTTAAGATACCATTTAAACAAATGATAAAGCATGCCTAAGATATGTCATTATGAAAGGATTTCTTCTGTGAAAAAAACAAATGAAATCAAAACATCCATTTGCCTTCAGGGGATGTTCTTGATTGCTTTTGTAGACGAATATATAAAAAGTAATATAAAATATAAATTTTCATATTAGCCACACCTGGAAAAAATTAATCATTGCTACCAAGTAACTACTAAGGAGCGAAGATGAGGACTTTAGTCTGCTGAAGGCACTTCTGGGCTCAGGAGTCTCTGCTAACAAATCCTGATACAGAATTAAGGCCTACTTTTGTCAGGTCTGTCTACAGTCATAAATCACTCTATCAGGAACGCAGGAACGTTACTATGGAGATATTTCTCTTCATCTTCAATGGGGCTTATGTATTTTTTTGTAATATGTTTGTGCTTCTAAAAATAAATATCCAATAACAGTCACTAAGATCTAACAAAGGAAAAATGAGAGCTGTCAGAAACATTATTTAGAATGAATTTCAGAGGCAAAATGGCATAACACTCAGTAGTACAGGGGAAGATATTTTGGCCCCCATGGCAGCACCATCAGTTATCCCAAGCACACGTGCCCTGGTCCCCATTTTGTGCTGCACTGCTGACCAGCAAAATTAACCACAAAAACAAAACACAGGAAATATTTACAATTTGGAAGACTTAAATTTTATAATGAGAGAAACCAGATGTCAGACCAGACTCCAGTTATGGAATCTTGCGACCCATAGCAATCTCTGTGCTAACTCTTTGCACTTCCGTTTTGGGAACAAACATCATCACACCTCTTTGTTGGAATGTCATGTGGCATGTTTTTGTAATGCTTTAAACAGTCTATCAAGAATATCATGACAGGATTGTATATATATATATGTGTGTATATATATATATATAGAGAGAGAGAGAGATATGTGTTTATGTGTGATATATAAATTTATTTTGAGGGAAGGGCACTACTATGAGGAGCTGCAAATACACACTTTAGCTGTTGAGGTAAGATAAAGGTACTGTAGAGTTTTAAAGCTGAATGATGTTTCACTCTTCAGTTACAAAATCTCATTCAAGACTTAAAGAAATATAAAGTACATCTATGTTTGATTCATTAACAAACAAATCTGGAACAACAGTATTTTTCTTGTTTTCTCCCAACTCTTTATTGACCTACATTTTTTGAAGCAAAACAGAATCTGCTATGTCATTCCTTTTTTTGTATACTTTTTCTCAGTAGTCTTCAAGAGTAAATTCAAGCTCTTAACTCTTGACTAAAGTGTTTTCATGATGTTACTACTTTTAGATTTCTTGCCCCTCGCCTCCCAGCCGTTTGGTCAGGATGCAATCTTTTGGTAGGTCTTATAAATTCAATTCTAGTGTATCTATTATGTTTCTCTGCAACTTCACCTCCTTTTCTGGCTAAAAGGAACCTGTTTCTTGCTACCTTAATGAGCTTCAAAACTTCAGAATGACTTCAGTAAGTGAGTCTTAAAAGTATAAATCCTTAACTCTTGACTATGTATTTCCAATCAACACAAGCAATACATACATACTTTGCTTACTGGGCCAGTGCTTTCAGTGCCACCAGCATAGGCTTACTAGTTTTCTTGGCCTGTGCTTTGCAGCGTACGTGACACTTTCTAGCCTTGTCATCTCTTTCAGATACATGCCACACTGTAATCTCTTGCTGGTCCTGAATCATATTTGTGGCCATCATTTGGTTGGTATGCAAAAGCAAGTACAATCCAAATTCCATTTTTCTGTGAATGTAGCTGCTGAACTGTGCTGTTTTGTTGTCTTATCTCCAGTTTCTTAGTATTTTGATCCTGCAGTATCAGAACACTGCCAGCTTGCTAGAAGATTAAATCCAAACCAGTTAACTTCCTTTGTATAGCAAAAATCCAGGTTCTATTTCAAGAGGTAATTTGGAACAGACTCCTTCCTATTGCGGTCACAACCCTGATATGGTCTCTTGTGAGGCTCTCAGCTCCTTGGAGTGGCAAGATTAGCTTGTCAGCCTCATCCATAAAGTCTTAAGTATCCTCCATATATTTGCTCTCTCTTTTTAAAAGCGTATCACTCACATGTTGCATTTATGCATGAAGTGCAGCCTATTCAAATTTCTGCCCCGACTTAACAAAAACATATTAAAAATGTCAAGCGCTTCAAAACTAGCTATTGTCACAAATAAAGCTATATCTAAATATGTCTTCCTGGAACACAGTGCTTATAGATATAACGTAAAACTCATCCACTGTCCTCCAGATTTCCCAAGAGTTTCAGTTCTTTCACTGTTTTATTCCTGTATTCAGTATATTATCTATTTAGCGTTTCTTCAGTTTCTGTGTTTTGTTCAATAGTTATACAGAGTTCATGGAGATACTCCAGTAAGCATCTAACTGTCAGTGGTGTGTAGCGTAAGTCCCATCAGAACAAAGCAGTCTCTTGGAAAGGGATCTTGTGAGCGCCCTTTAAAGGAGCAGCTTCCATAGAGGCATATTCCCAAATTGTCAGGCCTTTTGCACCAAAGTTTGCAGCTATTTCTGTCATATTGTAAAGATGAGCGGTCAAGACCTTTTGATGAGAAGCAGAAGAATAGAAGGAATAAGCTTTCTTCTTGAATTCTTAATTTCCCAGGACACTCAAGGATTTCCAAGAAGAGTTGAAACACTCTCATTAACTCCCGAGAAATCCTTTTTTTTTTTTCTGAGTGGTCATAAATCAGGTCTGTACTATGTTCCATGGTCTATGGTCTACTTAAATGACGCTCAAAAGTGTCTTTTATATTCAACGTACATATTTGCAAGTGGGATTACCTGCATGAACAAAATTAAATAATATTTGTGTTCTAGGAAGTATTTTGCCCATAACCTTAAATTCCCTTTCCTCACCTCCCATAAAGACAACTAACCTTTTTTTAGTGTAAATGAAGTTGACTTTGAAGTGCTCATACGCTGCCATTAGTTTCCCTAAGGCTGCCAGAAAATTATACTAGAAACCATTTAAAAATACACATAGTAATAACATATTTTTTCTGTATTAAACAAAAAGACACATTTGTAATCTGCCATTACTACCTCTCTACAAAGTCTATAAATCTGTTAAAGTTTTAAGGTAAGAGTTCTAATTAATCGCTAGTATAAATTTGAAGTAATCTCAACGCATCTCAGAGCAGAGTTTTGCCAAGGATATCTATTTTTTTAAAAATTATTAATTACAGTAGGACCAACGCAGAAATGAGCCATGCATTTGGTTTAGGTGTTAGCTCTGCGAGTTACTGGCACTGGTATTTGCTTTATTTTGTTCATTTCCTCTGTAAAGAGCAAATATTACGAAAGATTGATATTAAAAATATCTATTAAAATTGATATAAATTTTATGCAAAAACTCATCCTTCACCAAATGTGCTCAGGCTTTCTGCTATTCATAGCTACTGTAAATACTAAGAGGGATGTGCAAAAAAATTCATAGCTACTGTAAATACTAAGAGGGATGTGCAAAAAAATCAGGTTCAGCTTGGGACGTTCTTCTAGGAAGTGTCACTTGCACTTCAGCTCGCACTGGCAGAGGAAGGAATGAGTGTCAGTTACCTACACCTTGAGCCTTGTTGTGACCACGAAGCTTATCTTATAACAGTATTTAGTTTTAAGTCAAGTGAAACATCTTATAAAAACTGTATTAGTTTTATCTTTTGAGCAAGATAAAGAAAGCATTTTTTATGTTTTCTTCTCCTTCTCCCCACCTCCACAATTAGATTCAGGCTCATTAGCAAAACAAGCTACCTCAAAATGGATTTTGCACGTTGATCCATTTTATAGAAATACTTAAATTTTCACTGAGTGTTAGAGAGATTATCTGGCTAAGTAATTTGTGCACCTGCAAGATGGGACACATTAAATTTCAATCTCTGCTGCAGTAAAAGCACAATTCTTTAAAGAAGCATCAAAAAGAGAACGTGAACATGTTTTATACCACAGTCTCCTCGTAGCTGGGGAGAAGAAAAATGTAATGTTTCTCAAATCCCAGTACTTTTAGACAGTACTCTTTCATCTCAAGGGAATGATGTTAGTACTAGAGTATGGGCTAAAAGCTGAACTTTATTTCAGAAACTTATTTCCAGGAAAACTCAGTGACTTTTATTCACCAGCTTTTCTGGACTGAAAAAAGTATTATAGTCTTTCAGTTAATTTAACACCTATTGAAGGAAAGTCATCCATATCTAGATACCTGCAAGTCTTCTGTAGTTGCATCGATTTTGCTAGCAATATGTAGGAATGCCACCTGTCTAGGGGTTACATCTTACCTATTCCTGCATGACATCAAAACAGGGAGAAAGAATTTCAATAGTCCAACAGCAGCTGGGCATCTAGGGTATAAAATTGACTATTTTGTAAG